TCTGGCTGTACTTCTCCCAAGACAGACTTGTTTGTTCTTTTGGCGGTCCATGGCATATTCAATATTCTTAGCCAACACCACAATTCAAAGGCATCAGTTCTTCTTTGGTCTTCTTTATTTATTGTCCAGCTTTTGCATGCATATGATGGGTTGTGTCAGGTGCACCTTAGTCCTTAAAGTAACATCTTTGCTTTTTAACACTTTGAAGAGGTCTTTCCTAGCAGGTTTGCCCAATGCAGTGCTTCATCTTATTTCCTGACTGCTGCTGCCATGGTTGTTGACTGTGAATCCAAGTAAAACGAAATCCTTGACAACTTCAATATTTTCTCCATTTACCGTGATGTTGCTTATTGATCCAGTTGTGAGGAGTTTTGTTTCCTTTATGTTAAGGTGTAATGCATACTGAAGGCTGTAGTCTTTGATCTTCATCAGTAAGTGCTTCAAGTCCTCACTTCCAGCAAGCAAGGTTGTGTCATCTGCATAAAGCAGGTTGTTAATGAGTCTTTCTGTAATCCTGATGCCACGTTCTTCTTCATACAGTACAGCTTCATAGAATGTTTGCTCAGCATACAGATTGAATAAATACAGTGAAAGGCTACAACCCTGACGCACACCTTTCCTGACTTTAAACCACACAGTGTCCTTTTGTTCTGTTCGAACGACTGCCTCTTGGTCTACATATAGGTTCCGCGTGAGGACAATTAAGTGTTCTAGAATTCCTATTCTTCTCAGTGTTATCCATAGTTAGTTATGATCCACACAGTCAAATGCCTTTGCATAGTCAATAAAATACAGATAAACTCTTTCTGATATTCTCTGCTTTCAGCCATGATCCCTCTGACATCAGCAATGATATCCCTGGTTCCACATCCTCTTCTGAATCTGGCTTGAATTTCTGGTGGTTCCTGGTCAGTGTACTGCTGCAGTCACTGCTTGTGAATGATCGTCAGCAAAATTTTCCTTGTGTGTGATTTTAATGACATTGTTCCATAATTTCTACATTCTGTTGAATCACCTTTCTTTGGAATGGGCACAAATATGGATCTCTTCCAGTCAGTTGGCCAGGTAGCTACCTTCCAAGTTTCTTGGCATACATGAATGAGCACTTCCAGCGTTGCATCGGTTTGTTGAAACATCTTAATTGGTACTCTGTCAATTCCTGGAGCCTTGTTTTCGCCAATGCCTTCAGTGCAGCTTGGATTTTTTCCTTTAGTACTATTGGTTCCTGATCATATGCTACTTCGTGAAATGGTTGAACGTCCACCAATTCTTTTTGGTACAGTGACTCTCTGTATTCCTTCCATCTTCTTTTGATGCTTCCTGTGTGGTTTAATATTTTCCCCGTAGAATCCTTCAACATTGCAACTTGAGGCTTGAATTTTTTCTTCAGTCCCTTCGGCTTGAGAAATGCCGAGCGTGTTCTTCCCTTTTGGTTTTCTAATTCCAGGTCTTTGCACATGTCATTGTAATACTTTACTTTTCCATTGTCTTTTTCCACAGATGTAGTCGATTTGATGCCTGTGTATTCCATCTGGCGAGGTGCACATGTATAGTCGCTGTTTATATAGATTAAAAAAGTATTTGAAATGAAGAAATTGTTAGTCTTACAAAAGTATATCATGTGATCTCCGGTGTGGTTTCTGTCACCAAGGCCATGTTTTCCAACTACTGTTCCTGCTTTGTTTCCAACTTCCGCATTCCAGTCACCAGTGCAATCATCTTGATGGCACGTTTGATCAATTTCAAACCACAGAAGTTGGTAAAAACTTCAGTTTCCTTATCTTTGGCATTAGCGGTTGGTGCATAAAGTTGAATAATTGTCGTATTAACTGGTCTTCCTTGTAGGCATATGGATATTATCCTATTGCTGACAGCGTTGTACTTCAGGATAGATCTTGAAATGTTCTTTTTGATGATGAACACAATGCCATTCCTCTTCAATTTGTCATACCCGGCACAGTAGACCATATGATTGTCCAATTCAAAATGGCCAATACCAGTCCATTTCAGCTCACTAATGCCTAGAATATCGATATGTATTCATTCCATATCATTTTTGACAACTGCCCATTTTCCTAGCTGCATACTTTGTACGTTCGTGCTCCTTTTTTTAATGGATGTTTGCAGCTGTTTCTCCCCGTTTTGAGTTGTGCCACATCAGTAAATGAAGGTCCCAAAATCTTCATTCCATCCATATCATTAAGGTCAACTCTACTTTGAGAAAGCAGCTCTTCCCCGGTCGTATTTTGAGTG